TTTAGAATGTAAATATGTACCCCTAAAACACTTATTTTATGACTATTATAAAGGAGGTTATCAGCACTGCATCAATGACAGATTTGTACTGAGCATATAACCACTCACCTCACTATGCTTGTGACTGAAAGGTTGACTTTTCACAGGCCAGCTCAAAGAAGACCCTAAACTGCAGTTCATCACTCCATTTCCAGTGAGGCCTGGATATGCTCAGGGTCCCAGCATGCAGCTTTCCACCACACCTTGTTTCATTATTTGAGGCATTACCAGCTCTTCACTTACCCTGCGCTGTTTCTTTAGTTGGTGAAGTGACTCCCTGTAGGGTGGGACACATTCCTTTCTTTCAAAGTCTGGAGTTATTACACTCTTCTGCAAGAGCTGTAAGAATTTTTCTGAACATTAGAGAGCCACCTCACTGATACAAATTTTACAGCTTAACTGTATTTACAGGACCTACTGAAGAAATCATGCGGAATCTAAGCAAGTATTCTAATGCAATACATGAGCAGTAAGGATCTTCAAAACAGAACACTGGACAACAACAGAAAGCAGCTGACTTGCCCTGGAGGAAGTTAGACAGCAAATCCTCTGGACTAAAGAGGACTATCATGGATGAGCCAAAGAAAAGTCTCAACAAAAATAACACATACCCTTTACTTCAAAGGGTGCTTTTGAAAAAACCTGCTAAGTCCATACTAGGGCATAGACTTTTATTTACTGAAATTCATTCTGGCTATAGACTAAATATCTTGTCAGCAGACTTTAAGCTTGTGAATCATTAGGCAAAACTCCAGGTATAATCAACTTTAGTTTATTTTACAAGGCAATGCTAGAATTTACACTGTTTTTCAGTTTCTGATAAGTCAGGTATATTTAAACTTTCGCCATTAAAACCAAATGTAAAAACCACAGTCTGGTCAAAGAGAATGTAAGTTCTCAATGAACCATGAAAAGGATACTTCTTTAAAATCAAACAAACCAATGTTCTTAGATTAACATCTTTGTGTTACTATAGTCACAGAACTGAATAACTGTAAACATGTTACCTGGTCCTTCTTCTTCTTCTGTGGTTCTATTGCACTCGAACTAGGCTTCTGATTTTTTGCATCAAAACTGATATACAAACCTCCAAGCTTCTTGATATTCAAACCAGGGTCTATGCTACTGGAAAGATGTAAACTAAAGAAGAAATAGTTAATTATTAAAGCATTGTAACATGCATGCAGCTAAACCTTCTACTGTCCTCTGAGGAAGATGAACAGAAAAAATATTTTTCTTAGTCTTGCCAATTAGGTTCAGTTCTGCAATGATTTTAAGTCTTGTTATCTAGATTATGTAGTTTTGAAATAACAGGTGCAGGAGAATTCATGCCATTATATGAAATAAGACATTATTAAAAAAAAACCTGTGGAATCACTTCCACAAATTTTTCATATTAACTTTAATGCTGTAATCTCATCTTAAATATTTTTATCTTCTGTATTAACTGAATTCTTAAATCTGCTTAACCTTGCCAGAAGAACTCATGATTAGCATCCTTCTATACACCGACAAGCTTGCTAGCTAAAGAGAAAAACCCCAAACATACTGGTAGTAAAAATACTGTAACTCTTAAAAAGAAGTATGAAGAAAATACAATTCATTGCTTTAAACACAAGAAGGAATTTTAGCACCAGCTGGACTACAAGAATTCAAGAAGTATCACTGCACCTAAATTATTCTGATTCCATGCTGGGTTTCACCTGAAGAGTCACCATCCACAGCACAGCAACAACTGACATATAAAATTATATGCAACTATTTAAAAAGCATTATCTAATCAGGCAATGTGTAAGTAATTTGCTGGACCTTTTGTTATCTACATTCCAACTGGAAAAAAAAATTAACAAAACTGTGACCTGAATAACCAATTCAGTCAGCATGATCAGTTTCACATTGTTTTCTAAGCTGAACACATAGAAGGCCTCCAGATGCCAAAAAATTTCAGATTTCTGTTCCTACTATATTCAAAACTGAAAAAAATCCCAAAACCTAAATTTATGGACCATATTCATATTTTATAATATGTGCAACGCCATTTTCTGCAGCAACATAACATAAGACTGATCCCTTATTTATTCTGCACTTAATGTGCATATTCTTAAAGGAAATGCAGATTCTTTAGCTATTCCTAGCAAGATACTTACACATCAACCTTATTTTTCAACAGATCATCATCTTCATCTTTTTCATCTTCATCTATCAATTCCTCTTCATCCTCTTCCAAGTCTGATTCTTTATCTTTTTCACCTCCTTCATGCTTACTTTCAGCATCGCTGTCTTGGGCTACATCATCCAGATAATAGTTTTGGCTGGAACTCATGCCAGGCTCAGTATCAATTGCAAAAAGACCTTCAACATGCAGTGAACCACTTTTTAAAGATTTTTTGAAGGAAGGAGTTTTCTCATCTGACTTTTTATAACACAGATTCTCATCAATTGTATCTATGTCTGCCACATCACTATTTTCAGAGTCATCACTTTCACTGTTGCTCAGAAACAATGCGAGAGAGTTCTTATCACTGCTTGGTTTTTCACTGCTGTGGGATACCTCATATTCTTCTGTTTGGTTGTCACCACTGTCTGCACCAATTTTAAGCATCCCGCTCTTACCAATGCTTTCAGTTGTCTGGGCAACAGCCATGTCCACTGATGGGCTGCTCACTGCACTTGCTTGCTGACTCTTCATTAATGTATCATCAGACAAGAAAGCCTGCTGTGCATCTGCCTCAGCATCTGCTCCTTCACATTCTGTAATTTTTTTACTTTCATTTGGTGTTACTTGTCCTTGGGATTCTAGGAATTGTTTGGGACTCATGCAGTCAGTCAAAGAAACAGACACATGCTCTAATTTCCCCTTCCTTGCAAGTATTTTACTGTGATCTTCTTGTATTTGGCCAGATATTGTATCTGAATGGTCTGTCTCAACAGACTGCGTATTTTTTTTTGGTTTTTTCACAGGTGATTTAGTGTCACTTTGTTTTGTTTCTGTAGGACTGGATGCCACATCATTTAAAATCTCTTCTTTTGCATCTTCACTCCAGATTGCATTCGCACATTTGCTTTTAGGTGAACTGGGTTCTTTATTACCATCAATGAAGGTGGAAGCATTTTCCGTGTCATTGACAAGTTCTGCACTAGGCCTAGAATCAGAAATTATGATGGGATCAGATTTAATAGTGTCCTCATTTAAATTCTCATCTTCTGAAACAAATTTATTTTTTTTCTCGGTCTGCTTAGTATTTTCTGCTTGTGATTTCATTTGCATGCTCCTAGTAATTCGTTTTGGAGTGGCACATGGTTCCACAAGAGAACTTGGGCAACATGATTCTGCATCAGAAGTATTTTCACTCTGGGTTTCAGGAACTCTGTGTGGCTGCAATTTCTTTTTACTTTGTCTGCTCCTTGTACTTGTGGGAACATTAAGCATCTGGACACCAGAAACAGCAGAGGAACAAGACTCAGCTTCAGAGACATCATCTTCATCCTGAATCCTACTTAACTTATTAACAAAAGCTGTACTGTCATGTCTTTTTTTGTCAGCAGAATCTGGTTGATAAGGAATTACAATTTGTCGCCTCCGTGTTATTCTTACAAACAAAGGTGTCTGGAGACCAGACACAGAAGAGCAGTTTGATTCTGCTTCTGACACATAACCATCAACTTGTGGTTCAGCAACTGATGGTGCTGATGGAACAGCTGTGTTCCCATTCCTAGTGATCTGCATCTCTGAGCTATCACTGACATCTGATTTCATTTCTGCATGTTCCAACTCTTCAAGCTGACATTCCTGAATCACCTCTGGCTTACGAGCTGATCTAGTTCTCCTGGTCATCCTCCTAGCCACAGGAGTACCAATTTCATCAGATCCCACCTAGAAAAGGAGTAAAAAATTATATGGTATTGACAGATAAAATAACTACATAAAAAGAATGCTATAAAAATCGCTAACAATCTTTTTAAACAAATCTACTTAAACTCACAACATACGTCTCTGTGTAGCCCTATCTATGTGGAGGAGGCCTTAAACAAACCATCCCTTGCTTATCTCTACTGTATTTTGGTCAGGGCAGGAGAAGAAACACACATGTCCTTTAATAAATATAAACAAGTATCTCCTAATTTTAAAAGCTTCTGTCAAGTTGTCAGGGGAAGGAAATCCAGAAAAAGCGTTCAGAAATATTCAAAGACTTCCTCAACTATAAACCACTAAATACTATCAACTATCAAAATGTGCCCCAAAATGGTATCCAAAACCAATTTTAGGTCTACGAACAAGCCGACCTCTCAGCAACCGCAAAACTAGGTATGATCTGCGAAGCATTACTTTAAGTGACAGAGAAATGCTAAAACATCTGTCATGCAAAGTAAAATAAGCCTACCTTTAACTGCCGAAGCTAAATGGCCCAATGACCTCCGGCGGCTGCAGGCACGGGCACGGGCACGGGCACCGCCACCGCCCCTCCGGACCCCGCGGCCGCGCTCCGTGCGGAGCCTGCACCGCCCGCCCGCCCAACCCCGCACCCGCTGCCCGCCCCGCTCACCTCCGCAGCACCGGCGGGATCGGCATCGCCATCGCCGGGGCTGCTGCTGCTGCTGCTGCCGCCTGCCCGCGGCCCGGGCTCCCGGCGCCGCGCCGCCGCCCGCCTGGTGTTCACCATGCTGCTGCTGCTGCTGCTGCTGCTCTGCCGCCGCCGCGCCCGCCCCTTCCGCCCTGCCCTCCTTCCTTCCTTCCTGCCGCCCGCCCGCCCTTCCGGGGCCGCCGCGGCCAGTAGGGTCCGGGCGGCCCCACGACGCCTGCCTCCCCGTGGAGTCCTGGCGTGCAGGCACTTGGAAAAGTGTACAATGCTGCACTAAAATGCCTACGGGGGTTGCAAATTTTAGTTAAACTTGCAGGTTTCTCATGGAAGGAAATCCCCTCTCGCCCATCTTGATGCAAACCAAACGAATGAGATAATGTGGTAATTTGATAAAGTGTTATGCTATTGGTGACTCTAGAAATGCCACGTCTTAAAAGGTACTTTTCTACAGCAAGCAAACTATTAGCAGTTTACAGAAAAGAAATAAATCATCCCATTAGAGCAGCCTTTACATCGGTTTAGCACAGTTCCTGTTTGTAGCATTTCAATATAAAAAACTGAGCACACATGCAAGTCTGATAAGGGACAGATTCAGTCAAATACACAGAGCTTACAGACAGTGGTTAAATCATAAGCACACAGCACAGAGCTAGCAGGGAAGTTTAAAATTAAACTAAGGTAATTTTGAACTCTGATGCACACTAGTCCAACATTAAAAAAACCACTTCATTTTTATTAAGGGAAAAACATCCAAACTTTTATTGATGCATTACTAGTTTCAATTCCCTGTTTCTCTCATTTGTCAAGAGAACTGAAGAAGCAAAGAAAATTTCCGGCTATTTGCCACTACAAAAACAATATTTGAGGACTAAGGTACCTTGAAAAACCTTAATCATTAAATGTAGTGGAATGGATTATAGGAAGCTGACAATCCAGGCACTACCTACAGGCATTCAAATTCCACTTGCTGCCTCTATGAAGAATTTGAAAGACGTTGGTGAAAATTCATTCCCTCACAGTTCAAATCTCAAAATATGTACAACAAAGTTAATGACTACCACCAGTATGAGGCCATGCCCCTGTCAGAAATCAAAATGTAATTTACTGTTTTAGACACTTGGTATCAAAATTCCTGCTAAACTACAAGCTGAACTTTAGGTATCTACTCTCATTTAAAGGCCAAGGAAAGGGAAAGGCCTTTTTGACAGAAGGACTACATTAAACCAAAAGCTTTGCCTTAGCTAAGCTAATCAGCACTCTCTCTGGGGTTAAAAAGCCAATGTGCTAATCTGCTGCTAATCAGAAAGATACCTAACTTCAGGCTAAGCCTTGCTTCATCTTTTCTGAGTGGCACTCAAGCAACAAGTTTCCCAGGCAACCTCACAAGAAGAATTAATTTTGGTGAACAGCATCAGCACTCCTGTCTATTCTACTTGGCTAATTGCTTGCGTAGTTCACAATTATCAAAAAAACAAGCCACAGTTGAGAAGGAGACAGGCACAATTTTTGATGAACAGATTTCTTCATAGCTTGTTTTCAAATCTTATTTTAAACATTCACTATTAATACATTTTCTATTTCAAACAGTAAAAATGCCATCACACTTGTGTGAACACTAAATGAAGCGTATCGAGGCACAAAGAAGCCAGAAGCAATTCAAGTAACAATCAGAAAGTAATTTGGAAGATGCTTTTTCTTCTAAATCATAGGACTCTTTTCCACTCTATTAAAAATAAACCAATTCTCCCATGCCCACAAATTAAATAGCTGACTTGACTATATATACATATCAAGTAATGAGATAACAGCTTAATTTTTGGGGGTATTGAATCATTAAAAAAATGACAATTTTCTATAAAAGCTAGTCCTTGAATGCTTGAAATGTATTCACCAGGTAAGTATGATTTAAGAGAAATTTGTTTTTTAAAAAAACAAAAATATATGTTTCTCCATGCTACCTAATGGCAGCTAAAATATAATGATAATTTTTACAGTGAACTGGTCATAAAAAGGAAATTATTTTAAACTGTTACTCTACAGATATCTTCAATAAAAAAAGCCCCAAAATATTTCATATTTTGAATGAACCCATCAATAGTTAAGAAAAATAGTGTTAGAACATTACAGACACTCCTACTGACATCACACTGAATAATTACAACTTTTGGTAGTTCATTATAAATGCTGTAAAAATCTTTCTATGAAAAATGCAATGTTCCCCCATCCCAAAGAAATTTAAACAGCCTTTACAAAAAAAAAAAAAAAACAAACAAAAAACCAGTGTTTTAAGATGCATTTCTTTTAGCTTGTATGATATAGCCTTTGGACTTGATAATTCCTCTGCTTTTAACAATGACTGAATACCGCAGAAGCCATAAAGGAATCCACTTGTTGGCTTTCATGTTCTGGATGCTTTCCTGGAGAACTTCTTGGAAACTTGCTTCACAAAGTAATTCTGAAGTTAAAAAGGGATATTTGTGCTTAAAACAGTATCATGTAAACAGCTGCAAAAAGCAACACTTAGTAAGAAAAGCCTTTTCCTACAGTCAAGATCTTAAGTGGTACCATATACCCCTCAGATCCACTCTTCCAGAATGCATTTAGGATAAAAGCAGCTGAATCTCACAAAATAAATCTCCAGGACACTTTTTTGCAACATTGAGTATTTCGCACAAAACTAACCGAGACTCAGGAATATCAAATTGAGTTGATCAGCAGAGTCATTAGTGGGAGAAAAAGAAAATTAGATTTGAGAAGCTAGCTAGACAAACCAGAGGTGAGTAAAGCTGAAATCAGCAAAGTACTGAGCATTCAGAGTTACCTCTGCAGTCACTGCAAAGTCAACATTCATAGTATTTCCCATAAGGGAGCTCATAATAACCATAAGCCCAGAAAGCCTTAAGAAAAATGGGCTTAAATGCCACAAAACAAGAAAAGAAGGCAAGCACAAATCCTCTGGAATGTTCATCAAAAGAACAATGTCTTTGGTGAGGAGTGCTCACCAGAAAGTCTCGATACTCTTCAGCTGACTATTACAGAACAGTTAGGCTGAGCAAACAACACATAAAGGAATCACAACTTGCGCTGTTTTCTATCAAATCCTCTTCTCCTTAATTTCATGACTTTCAGTGGATACTATTGATTAAAATGCAAGTTGCATTTGGACTTCAGAGGACATGGAAATTGAATGGAAATTGTCAGATTGAATAGAAATTCATCTTGCATGCTGCCAGAGCAGTGATAAATCCTGCTCAGGCACTGATGAAATTCATTAGTTCTAACAGTGGTACTATGAAGTACATACTTAATAAGAAACGCTTCACATACTTTTTTCTTTGGGATCAAGGGGAAAGAAAGGAGAAGGAAGGAAAAGTATCATCATGTATAATTAATCATGACCAAGAATGTAGGGAAGGACTTAACTAAATATTGTTTAAGACTTTTTATTATTCCAACAAGGTGTTAAAGTGTCCAACACTCTTAAGGTGTTCTTAAGTGAAGAAGACTGATGATGTTTGAGAGAAATTAATGTTATATTCCAGAGTATTGTAGAGAACTGGTAACTCAGTTATACAGCTCAAAGGAAAGCCTCCAATTTCTTAATTCATTTAGCAAATAAATCATTGCATTAAAAAGTGAAGAATTTTCAACTCTTTTTGTAATGATGTTATTTTAAGAAGTCAAGACTTTGAAAGAATCCCACTTAAAGCATAATAATTTTACAGATCTAATATTACCAAACTACTCAAAAATCAACTGGCCATTAATATTTTTATCTAATCTATTTCACAAGTTCCAGGCAAGTACACTTTCATTTGTCATTTCCTGGCCTTCAGCAATACATTGAATTCCGTATTTCTTAGAAATAAACGTACTACAAATTGCTCAGTAGGTTGTTCTTCTATTTATTTTATTTTCTCTGATTAGAAGTATTTCAAGAAATTATCCAAGGCTGCAAGACTGTTTCAAGAAGGGGTGGGGAGGAGGGGAGGAAGCAACAGCACTAACGTAACAGAAATATTTTATAAAGGAGAGACTTTTAGAATCCTTGGTTCAGGCCTCAAATATAACAAACCCAGAAGTTCAGGAAAAGATTATTCCTGATTTTCTATTGAATAAATACATTTAGAAGTCTTCTGTTAACTTAATCAGAGAAGTCTTACCTTTGGGGTCATTGTGAGTTAGCAGCTGTATGTCACATTCTTTTGCAAATGCTGTGAGATCAGGTGGCATCACACAACAGGAAGCTAGGTTCACCTGATTACTACTTGGTTTCACCTGAGTAACAAAATATTTTTATAAGAAAAAAATACTAATGTACTTATATTAGCTGTTTCTCTCACATCTTCTATTACAACAGAAATTTTGCTTTGAACAATTTGCCTTTGACCATTGTTTTGAAGTCTGAGCAAGGCTAATTAATTCTGCATGATTAATTAATGTAGGCAGCTGCAACACCTGCAATTCCCTGCAGCACACAGCCCAAAACAGGAGTAGGATCTAACTTCAGGTGCTTCCATATTGAGATGAGTGCAAACTCACTGCACTCTGGCTTTCTGTCTGCTGTACTCCCGAAACAGCAGCAGATCCTTTACTTCCCCTCACCTCTAGTAAAAACATTATAGGGATGTTAGTTTGAAAAATACTTCAAATTTAAAAATCCAAACCCACTTTTGTTAGGGATATATTAATTTGCAATCTTCCATGCCTTCAGGCAAGTGCTTGATTCAGATCAAGTTAAAAGGGATGCTCTTCCAATGACTTTCTCCTCACAAACTGCATTCATGATCACCATGCAGATGGTCATCAAATCCTGTTATTGCCCTCTATCAGTGTACATAAAACACTGAGGGTCACAAAGATGATCAAGTGACTGGAGCACCTCTCCTATGGGAACAGGCTGAGAGAGTTGGGATTGTGCAGTCTGGAGAAAAGATGGCTCCAGAGAGACCTAAGAGTCCCTTCCAGTACCTTAAAGGGGCCACAAAAGAGCTGGAGAGGGATTTTTTGCAAGTGCATATGGTGATAAGACAAGGGGAATAACTTTAGACTGACAAGGCAAGCTTAGCTTAGCTATTAGGAAGAAATTCTTCAATGTGACAGTGCTGAGGGCACAGAGAAGTGCTGGATGGCTGCCCCATCCCTGGAAGTGTCCAAGGCCAGGTTGGATGGGGCTTTCAGCAACGTAGTCAACTGGGAAGTGTCCCTGTCCATGACAGGAGGCTTGGAACTAAATGACCTTTCAACCCATTTTATGGTGCTATGTCACTCTTGTGACAGTCTTGTGCCATTTCATTCAGAGCCTGACTTCCTCTCTACATTTACACTTACCATTAAAACATCATTTCTCCAAGGGGAAATCCTTCCCTTTGTAACACAGCTTAAAATGAAAACAGCTACATTTTCAGAGTCACTGGAATAAATCTGAAGGTTTAAGAGTACTGTTTGTACTCCTTCCTACGTATAAACTTCCAGTTCTTCAATCCTCAAACCTTCAGTACTTCAAAGAACCTGCTTCTGAACAGACCTGTGATTTCCAGCTGTTGCTGGTCAGTACATAAGAACACTGAACAAACAACAGTCACATTTGAGCCTCCCCCATCTTGAGCATTATGACCATACACAAAATGTTGAAAATAACAGGGCTAATTAATATTTTATATAAAAACCATTTATAACAGAAGTTTGTAACAATGTGTCAGCCAAGAAAGCAAGCAGTTACTCTGTCCTAAGAAATGCTATGAGTAGGAAGTTGGTTCTCACCTGTGCCCACAGATACAGCTGCTCTAACAGTGTTTTATCTAGGTCAGAGGCACCTATGGCAACAATCTTTTTGTTTTGAACTAGATTTTCAAGTTCTTTCCAATAAGGTTGCAAATATTCCAAGGAGAGGTTAGTTCCATCTTCAACAGGAGGTGGGGAAATAATGACTGAATCTAACTGAGCAACTCCGAGGGCAGAACACGCTGAGGAAAAAGAACAGACACTGCAAAATCTTTTATCAGATACGAACATAAACAGCATGACTCTTCAAATTTAGCAAAAACCACGCCTCCTGCTTCACTCTGCTAGCTCTTCATTCACCATTTGAAACTCTGAGTGTATCTGAGGTCAAGAATAATAACACAACCTTTTTAGCAAAGATTCAAGAATACAGGTGAAGACCACGATTCAGTTTCAGGTCTTGGGAAAGCAAAAAACAAAACAATCAGAAAATGAACAAAAGCATGAAGCTTTTTCCTCCTCTTTAATGTTAAAACTGTGTTTTTCTCTGAAGACACTGATGATAAACAAGTCTCTATTTCTTCACTCTCCATTTCTTTTAAAATTTGTAGCTTTCACTTTGAACTATAACTTAAGTACAGGACATGGGTTAGGAAAACTACTTGATATGTGTGAGGAGTTAGAAAAGTGCAAGTCTTGGAGTCTCACTGAGCTTTAGGAAAAATGCAAGTCATGAGGCCTCTTAAGCACAGTGAATGGAGAAGAACTGCTGAGCTAATTATTTTCTTCAAGAGGAGGAGTCCATTATTGTACATTTGACAAATGGTGGTAAAAATTACAATAAATAAGCTATTATCTGGGGTATCAATAGAGAGTAATGGTATCTGGCCCTTTCTTGTTTGGTCACCCCTTAAGCCCAACAAACTTCCAAAACAGTAAAGTTCATTGCTGCTCACAATTACTGCTACCTAAGGCCAACAGAACTTTATGCAGAGACACTGTATGGCATTTTCAGTAAAACCTAACTATTTCACCAGCTACTTGCAGCATTATTTTATTTCCTAAATAATCTCTGAAAGACTACTCAGTCAGTAGCAAAGTTCATGATGTTAAATGCAACTAACAAGAACTGCTAAGAATGGCTGTATCACTGCTATTAAAACTTCGCACGCTATTTACTTTTTAACAAGTTTTGTGGTTTTGTGTAAAAGAACAGAAACTTGCTTCTGCTTGTAGCAAGGAATCAGATTTGATTTTGTGGATCCAAGGTCACAGTGATCCATTTAATAAGTTTACTGATGGAGCTACTGTGCAAATAGACTTAAGTCTCTCTTAATAGGAAAACAGGATATACTTGTGACAGTGACCAAATACACCTCTTAGAAATAACATTAGAACTTTTTCCATCTAAGTTCTAGAGTAAAAAGGAAATCCTAACTTAAGTTTGAGTTCCACACTTACCCAGGTCAACTGCGTCTCTGATTGATGAAGAATTTGATCCAACGATGAAAAGCTTTGCTATTTTCAAACAAACTGTAATCAATAACTAAACAAGCCAGGTATTACTAATATACAGCCATTTACTTTTGCTATAGTCACTATTAATGAGTTTTTGGGTAGAAGATTTTTAAAACATATACCAATTGCTTAAAAATTCAAAAAACCAGTTTTTTGAAAGGTGCCTGCCCAATAAAGACACTGTTCTCTTAAATTTCGATGTTGTGCAGTCTCGGAACAAGAAATCATCCAGTTAGATGATGGAGTAAGCTGTAAAGCATCAAGATGTGAAGCAGTAACAGTAACAACCTGTGTAAGAACAACAAATGTAATAGTACAAACAGACTGCTTCACAACTTACTGAGACTCAAAATGTACTAGAGTTAGTTTGGACTGCTTCCTTCAAGTTCATCATATTCAACCTGGAAAAATTATGCAAATAAATGTGCTTCCAATGCTATTTCTTAATTCCAGTATTATCTGTAATATTTTGCTTCAAAAATGTCAAAGATTCACGAAATACATTTAAAATATCTTGAGGTGATGCAAGTTAAACTAGAAAAATGCTGAGCTGCTTTAAAATCTGAACTATGAATTCAAGACTTTCTTAGCCAATGTTTAAGAATAACAGTGTGCAACAGTGTAATTTGATTCTGCAATTATAAAAGAAAGCAAAAAAACCCCATCTATGAATATCCTATTAATGACTTCATATGAAACCTTTCCATGACACTGGATTTTTGACTGTGTTCTTACCTGATACTTTCAACTCATCCCTTTCTTCAGGATTTATTTTTTCTATAGCTTGAGCTACAGAACACTCCAGAACCTCCAGTGTTTCCTGTGGTAAGTACATGAGACTTAGGAGCAACGTCAAGAGGAGACAGTAAGCTCCTGAAGAATGTTTTTAGGTAATTTGAAAAAAAAAAAAAAAAAAAAAAAAGAAAAAGCAAGTGCCTTACTGCAGTTGGAAACAAAAATAGTAGAAAAATGCAAAGACAGAAAGCAAGTAAACCCAAGACTTCTTGATCACTGAGGGGGCGTCAAAATAATGAAAGTATATGAAAGGCCTTATATGACCCTAATATGGAAAATAAAAATTACTGCTTAGAATTATTGGAACAAGATTCAGTAGTAAGTTTTAGAAGCGTAACCAACTCTCTATGTCTTTGATTTCACATGGAAGACGGATAAGATGCATAACACCTCTCCTACCTGATTTTGGTCTTGGCTGATCTTTGAGCTCCACTCAGTCAGTGTTTTCTGGATGCAGTCTCGCACCTACAAAACATTTTTTCATGTTGAAGCGTGGGTGTGTTCCAACCACACACAAACACAACAGTACAGAGATGGGCAGGAGAGACTGCACAGCTGAACTAATGACACCACCCCACAGAAGATTCTTCCTTCACAGCTTCTAGCTGAAACTTGCTCAAACTGGTTTACGTACATATTTTTCTCTCCTCTTCCACAGAGTTTTAGCAGTAATACAAGTACTGTAGTTATTTCTCAGACCAATGCCATCTTAAAAGGAAAGTACAATGCTAAGCAAACAAGGACTAAGACTTGTGGGTGGCTTGGGGTTTTTTGTGCAGAAATTCCTAAGTTAGAAAGCAGTCAGATAAGAGCATAAGTGCCCTGACACTGTAGAAATGAGACTTGACAATCAGCCCCTAAATACTCATTGTATTAATTCCTTCTCTTTTTAGGATGCATACAACCCTTCCCATTTACTGCCCACCTACTCCACTAAGCAAAACCACTAATGCTTTAAGTCCTCCATCACTGTAGGGGGAACCTACAGATCCTATGCCACACTTGCATTTTTCCTTCATCCACAGATGCAAAATAAACTCGGCTAAGATTCTGATAATGGCTTTTCTTGAACATAGTAAGACATAACTATTAAACCAGCTAACTAATTTTATACAGTACCAGTGCTGCAGCTGTAGCAGTGCTGTAGCTTCCCTCTGATCCACCCCAGGAGTTAAGCACAGGTACTGTCTGACTGCCACCTGCCACAGGTAGGAGCACTTCCACCAGCTGCTGCTTTACCTCACTTTCCACAGTGAATTTTATAACTGGGTGCATACCTACTCTGTGTACTAGTAAGCAGCCATTTCCCATGACACCCAACTCAAGAGAGCTCTAATACCATGCACAAACTAGAATCAACATCCCTGCCTGATATCAGACACAATACAGGAACAATACTTTGTGAACAGAAATACTATACATTCTTTCCATCATTTAAAACACTATAAAAACCCCTGGACCCAAAAGGCAAGAATTGACCATCCCAGTAAATAGTTAAGCACAATAACCCTTTAATGAAATCTTAATCCTATTTTGATACAATTTATATTGTTATCTTTTCCTTTCTGAGGGCAAGTGAGACGGTACTAAATTTTTATATGCCACTGCTTTGCAGCTGCCACAGGACATATTTCTATTGCGGTTCCTATGCACCCGCCTCTGACTCCCAAGCACACCACTCCCCTGCCCTCAGGCCATGTGGAAAGAGCAGTGTATTCCACTGCTTTGATCAGCTTTTCCCAACACAGCTGCATCTCCTAACGCTGGCATTCACAGTTTGCAAAATTTTAGCTTACATTCTGCCACTGAGAACTGACTACCCCAAAGAGAGGAGTTAAAAGCTGATTGCAAATGATCCCATTTATTTGCTTTTGGAAGTACACCAACTCTGGAAAGCCAGTGGATTCCTCTGTAAACAAGTGAATTTTAGTACCTTAACTATTAGTTATGCACATTGGCCACTCTACTTAACAGCCCTCCAGAAACTACCCACACAAGGGTGCCCAGCATGACACAGCTATGTCTTCGTTACAGAATCCAGCCCTATTTCACACAGATCACAGAATGTTTAATAAGCAACCAGGCCAAATAAAACGTTATGTGGTCACGTTACAACCACATGACAGCTCAACAAGAGTATGATGAATTCTTCCTTCTTGTTACATCATCCTCCCTGCCGCCTTTCTTCTGCTTGTGCATGATTAATATGCAACCAACTAACTTCTAGGTTATCACTAGTTTGACTACATAGCAATAATCAGCCAAACCCATCGTTTTTCTCATTATTAAGTGACCATTCTGAGATTACTGTGCCATGACGAAACAGCAAATATGGTGGTTCTGAAGTTCATGGCCACAGCATCTCCAGACATTTTATGAGAACTATTCTAAGTATTGACACACACCGCTAAAGGCAATACTTTTAAGGTGATGATTAAAAAGCTCTTTTCAACTTCTTAGCAAAGAATGACAGCTCTCTGCTTCAAAGAAGACAACTGCTACTTTTCCCAAGATCTGCCTCTATGAAGAAATTAAATTAACTTGCATCATCTGTAATGCAAACTCGTACCTATGCATATTTTTATCTTACTAGTACAGTATAAGGGATCCCCTTTGCCATTACAGACAGCACTTAGATTTGTGTTTTAATCCTTCATTCCCGGCATCAGAAGGCTGGGCTCGCTCCTTCTCAGAGCAAAGTGCTTCCGGGGGCCCCGGCCTCCCAACAGGGCAGAACACAACGAACGCACGAAAACAAACAAGCAAAACTCTGTTCTGCCATTCCCATCTCGCGCCTCCCGAGGGCACCGGCAAGCGGGTGGCTCGGGAGCCAGAGCCCCTCCTCGCCGTGACGGGCACCGGGCCAGCCGTGCGCCGCCGGAACGGGTCCCGCTCCGGACGCGCTCGGACCGCCGGGGAGCGGCACCCAGCGCTCCCTCAGCCGCCAGCCCGCCCGCGGCCCGGCCCGGGCCCCTCGCCCCAGGGCTGGCCTCCGCCGAGCGCCCCGAAGGGAAGCACCGGCCCGCCCCTCACCTCCTCGCCGGGGGTGGCCGGGCACTTCTTGCGGAGGCAGCCCCAATTGAGCAGGTTGCCGGTCTGCAGGGTGAGCGTGCCGGCGCGCTCCAGCAGGGCACGGGCGCCCTCGGTCCCCATGGCGCTGCTCAGGCGGTGGCCGGGGGGCTCTCCGCGACACCTACGGCCCCGGGCAGCGCCGTGCCGGCCGTGACTCAGCACCGGCACCGGGGCGAGGGGCGGCGCGGGGACAATAGGCGGCGGGGCGGGCCCGGCGCGGGAGCGGCACGGAGCGGAGCGCGCCCCGCCTCGCGCTGCCTTCACGGCGCGGGGCAGCCGCGGGCAGGCGCCCCCTGGCGGCGGCCGGGCCGCAGCACGCCGGGCGGAGTCTCCGGGGGTCGGCCGGAGGGTGGGGCCGGGCTCTGGGGGGCGGGGCCCGGCAGAGGGCGGGGCCATTAGGGGGCGGGGCCGGGCTCCCGGCGCCGCCGGGCTCGGGGGGCGTCGCGCCGCGGCAGGGCCGGGTCCGTGTGTCGGTCCCGGGTCCGTGTTTCGGTCCGGGCCCGAGGGCCAGCGGCCGCCCGACCCGGCATCGCGCCCAACGGAGTACCCAAGGCACACGTGGCGCTGCCCGGTAGTAGCGGCCCGGGTTCGGTAACACCCCCCGAGCCGCGGCCGCGCCGGGCTGTGGCTGCTGTTCAGGCTCAGTAAATGAGAGGAACCATCTGAATTGTGCTCATGACGCGTTCCACTAACAGGTAGTCATTGACAGACACCGAGCTAAAAGGCCCAGAAGAAGCATCCAAATGCTTGCCCCTTCTGGCTGTCTTTGCATTTGGGTGAAACAGTGTCAGGGCAGCACTCCAGTTCCAGTTTTACACCAGCTGGTTCCAGTGAAGACACACCGGGTAAATCCTGAAGGATTATGGTTTGGGAGTATTTTCTTTTTTAAGATGAGGAGACTTCTGGAACACCACACTCTGACCAAAATCCTTCTGTACTGGAGAGTTGAGGGGGGTGGCTTTTTTCTTCCGTAACTCACGTTAAATGGAACAGTGAGCCACAAATTCTAATTTTGCAGTCAGCTTGGGAATTTGAATTGTGTTTCTAATAGATTTTTCTTCCTCAAGCTGTATTGTGCTAGTAGAGGGAACCAATTTGCATAACTTCTGTCACTCTGAAGCACTGCCTGATCGCTTTCTGGTACAGAAGGTTAGTTTAAATGTTCTTTATATTTGCGATCTGATTAATTTTTCATGTTGGGAAATGTTTTCATGAATTCTGTATGGTTACAGAGCATGTGGAAATTAATGTACTGAAAGAAATGCCAGCCTATTTGGAGAAGCAAATAATTTTGTTTTTGTTTTTTTCAGCATAAAAATCCAGAATGTCTAACCTGGCCCAAATGTTAATTCTCCAGTCTCAAGGTTAGCTTGTGAAGCTTATGTTTCTGTATTTGCCCATATTTACACTAATAATGAATAATGTCCTGTTAGGGCTTTCTGATCAGCTTTTTGGCCTTCCAGCAGAGGCCTTTTCTTTTGGTGAAATTTATTATTTGATATTTCAGAAGTTTTGATGGTTATAGATCTGTGCAAGAAGGTTAAACTCGGAGATAGCAGAAGGTTTTCAAACAGTATATAGCATAAATCTTTCTGTCTAATAGAAATTTATGGCAGTGAAAAAGCGATGTTCCTTTGTAGCCTGGTAGATTTTGTTGATATTTAATTACCATAGCTCTTAAAGAAAAGATATCACGTAATGAAGACTGGGTGGAGGAAACACAGTACCAGTCTGTACTGCTTTATGCCACGTATGTAATCCTCAGCAGTGGCAGGAACACATCACAGGAGGAGAAGGGATCTCAGCACAGTTCTGTTGTCAGTCCAATCACCCCTGAAACATCAGGTAAACTATCAAAAAAAAGAAAGGAGAATATCCTCTAGCTCATGATCAGTTGCATTTTTCAAGTTATCTCATTAAGATACTTCAGCTCTTTAAAAAAAAAATATTTCCCGCAATAATTCTCAAAGAAAAATAAATCACCCTTCTGAATGAAATGTCACTCCCGGCGGCCGGTGCATATTGTTCTTCTCCCGCAGTTTTTGAACACCGGGAGCTGCAGAACTTGGCGTGCGCGAGGTGCCGGCGGTCCCGCACTGCTGCGGCTGCCCGGGGCAGCGCCGCGGGCTCGGCAGGCAGCGCTGCCAGCAGCCGCCCACCGGCACGGCCGGGCAGCGGCCCCGGCCCGGGCGGGGCGGAGGGTCCGGGCGCCGCCTGATTGGCCGCAGCGCGGGGCCCCGCGCAAGGTGCCGCGGGCGGCGGCGGGGCGGCGCGGCGGGTGCCCGCAGAATGGGCGGCAGAGCCGGCTTCTTCGAGGTGGGTGCGGGCGGCACCGGGGGCGGGGGGCGGCCGAGGCGAGGCGAGCCCGGGCAGGTCCCGCGGCATCCTGCCGCCGGTGGACGTGGACGGGGCTGCCCGGGATGCCGGCGGGCTCTTTTCTCTTCCCCCTCCATCTGCATTGAAGCGCCGGGGAGCCGGAGCCAGCCGCTCCCGAGTCTGCCGAGGGAAGTGACCGCCGCCAGAGCCGGGCAGAGGGGCCCGGAGGGGCACGCTGCTCCCCGGGGGTTTCACTGGGGCGAGGGAGCAAAAGCGGCTGCCGCCCGCCCCGTCCTCTCCTTCCCCGGGCACGTTCCCCTCGCCGTTCCTGATCCCCGCGTCCCCGGTGTTCCCGGAGAGCGGGGCGGGGGGAATCCCCGGGCTTCCCGGCGCTCTCGGCGGTGCGCGGAGGCGCCGGATCAATGGCTCTGGGCTTCTCGCGGGTCCTGCCCAGGGCAGCACCGCGGGCAGCCTGCGCTGGCTCTGGCAGCGCGTCCCAGCCCTACGGAGAGAGCGAGGAATGTTCTCGGCACCTTCTGTCCCCAACTTCTCGGAAAACCCCGCGGCCAGCCGCTGTGCCCCTCGCCGGCAGCCGTCCCGCGCAGCCTTCCGGCCCGGTGCAGGCGTGGCCGCGGCCGGCAGCGCCCCGGGCCGGCTCGGCTGGGCTCGGCTGGGCGGCCGGGAACCGGCGGGCGAGTTGGTGCCCTGGCCGAGAGGACGGCGCCCGTGCCCGGCAGATACGGGCTAGAGCCCTCTGCTAGCACGGAGCGCTCGATCTTGAGTGGGGAATGAAAAACAGCCAGGCGGAGTTTAGTACAGTCAGCTAGCTCCTTGTGCTCACAGAAAGCGCAGAGTAACGTGCACCTGGGGAGCTTCAAGGGTAACATCTCATCCACTTACATAAACAGCCACACCGACTCTTTGCTAGAATTAGTTAGGCTGGCTAATACAAAAAATCTAAAGACCAGCTTGTATTACAAAAACAGGTCTGTACAAGCTAAATTACAGCAATCCTGAATATGTTTCTTCAGGCTTATACTTGGGTTTCTCAATCACGACTTACCTAAAAAAAATGCACAGGGGGAGGAATGTTCCTCCTCCTGTGCAAATTACAAATCAGTTGTTGTTATAACACTGATAGAATCCAAAGTCATCTGAAAATCATCTACTCCTTTAGTAACTCACCATGAGTTCAGGTTTTACTTTTCAAAGATATAAAAATGATCCAGACATCACAATTCAGCAAAATAAACTGCCTATAGCTCTTTTGGGTGTGAGGTAGGCACCCACTTTTTCCTCAGCAGTGTTTACTTCCCAGGCTTGTTTTAGGAAAAACAACCAAGCTTTTACTGCCTTATGGATTTCTAACAGTGAGGTAGAACTCAAACTGTTGTGAGATCCAAATGCAGGAGCAAGCACATGTGTAATACCCTTCTGATTGCCCTTAGTCACTTCAGGTTTGCTCTTCTGCCTAGACTTATTTGAACTGAAGAGCACTAGTTACTAGAAGACCTCAAAAGCAAGGACGTCATTATTGTTACCTGATTTTGCAGATGGGTAAAACACACAAAAGTTGAATGACCTGCTCAGTCTTGCTAGGCAGGACAATAGCAGGAGATCCAGGTCTTTGGAGTCCTAAATCAAGATCTCGTGTTTAAGCAATACTAAAGCAAACTCAGCATGATTCATGAATTTACATGTCAGCCTTGTATGTCTTAGTCCTTTTCTTTTTATAGCAGATAATGGGTGGAAACAGATTTGCCCAGCACATCCCGTGTGTGAGGTGTCTCAGGGGTAGGATGTGGACAAAGACTGCCTAAGTAGCACCATCAGTGCAGTTCCCTATTGCTTTCTGCACTGTTCTCCCTGATTTGTTTTCTGTTACAAATTCATTGACTTCGAATCCTGAATTGCATTTCCCCACCACACATTCAAAGCTGAACTATGTAAAGAGAGAAGGTGAGTATCCCACTTCTCTCAGTAGTTCCCGGGGAGGCCAGGCAGAATTTCTACTGTTGTTATAAACTTTAGGGTTCCCTCTTTTAGGAACTGTATAAATTTGTACTTTCCCCTAAACATTTATAAACCATTTACTCTTTACTGTTCTTCTGTGGTGCTTCCTGATAAGAATCACAAATCACTTCACAATCACCAAACTGTCATCTTTACTTCAGATGTTGGTTTGTTTCTACTTTCACCTCATTTTTTAAATCACTAATAGTTCAGAAGAAGCTTCTCAAGGACAACTATAAATAAATATGCATATACTTGAAAATACTGCACCTGATAATTTGAGGAGATTCAACTCTAGACTGAGAGATGTATGACAGAGACTTGTATCTAGACTAATATTCTTTAGGAGTCTTAAATTCTCTAAGTTGCATAGAGAACAACTCTTCTGACCTATTTGAGGTTTGTTGCAGAGCTTATGATACTGTTTATCCTAACAGTGCCTCTTTTCCTCCTTTCCATATGAGGGATGCCTATGTGATGTGCTTAGATATAAATGTCTCCAGTAGAGCTCTGAAGTTAGACTAATGAATTATACTATTTCTTTTTACTTGACAGGTTTAGGTCTTCAAAAGCATTTAATGTAGAGAAAATAGTATGGTGTTCTGACTTCCAAGAGGAAAGATCCTTGAACAAATATATTCATACTGTAGAGAATTAGTGTCACAAGAGCCACAGTTGTACTTTTGCTTCCTTAATTAGTTTGGATGGTAAGTGCCTTTTGTGAGCAGCAATACCCAAAAATGTTTTGGAATCTTCACTCCCTGATGATAGATTGAGCTGACATGTGCAGTACAGTCTAAAAGCAATAATGTACTGGCCCCCCTTGTTGGCATTTAAAGTTCCCTCCCTCTTCTGTCTGTGATGAAAACCCTCTGAATGTAAGGGGGTGGCGACTGCTGTCTGGCTGGCATGG